CTGGGCTGCGGGCGCTCCAGGGGGAAGCCAGTTCCATTGTCCTAAACAGCAAATGCACATTCCACATGCATACAAAAGAGTTTTCAATGTACCTATGACAAGTCACAGATAAAAACAAGCAAACAAACAGGAGAAAATGTAGTAGCCAAACAATCTTGACTAGTTTAATGAACAGCAGTTTTAGCATACCAACTGCCAAGCCATTTGCTAGGGAAAACTGATTTTGCTTTTTCAGAAGCTCAAAACTTAGTCAAATATATACTGAGCTTGCAAAATAATTTTTCCCCCCTCGCTATGCTTGTATGGATTTATTATGCATGCATGTGGCTAACAAAAATAGTGAAAAAGTGTACTTAATATATTGTTTCCAAAAGCTAAGAAAAGGGGTTCTATACATCTTGTTAAATATGAGAAGTCTGAGGGTAGACACCTGCAGAATTTTAAGAAAAAGCATGGGGGGGCATACTGAAACACATCAGCTCAAAGATTTTCAGCAACGGTGCTACAGTACCTGGAGTTGCCATGAGATATTCTTAAATGTGCTGTTGGGTGCCACACAGTATTAGCACTGTTAGGTTTGCAAACACCTATGGATTATTCACAAGATAAACCCAGAGGGCATGTCCAGATGATCACGCATATGCATTTTCCTGGGGACAAATAGCAGCAGCACATAGTTGTGCCACTGCTACTTGTCCCGGGGGAACACTCATGCACGCGTGCTCTGGCACACAGCAAACTGCCTTGGATGGAGTAGGGTGTGCTGGGGCCAGCAGCCTTACCTGGGGTTCTGGGGGCCTTCCAAGGCTCCAATGACGGCAATCTGGCAGCAGGTGCCTGGCTGGCAGCCAGAGTGAGACTCTGGCTAGCCAAGCTCCAGTTTTGGGCAGCACATGCTGCTGCCATGTCCTGCCCCACTTTTTTCTAGTGCAGGATTTTTTGACACCGGAGTCTCCTAGTGTCAGGCCCCCAACTGTCCTCCCCCCCACACACTGCAAATCAGCAGCATGGGAAATGCCTACATGTGTGGTGTGTGCAGTAGTTGGCACCGCACTTAGGTCTGCAGCACCACATAACCACAGGTGCGCATTCATCTGGATGCACCCAGGGTTTCAAATAGGAATCCACAGTGTCAGAGACATTCTGTCCTGTTCTGGTATTTGAGTTATTGGCAACAAAAGAGTTGGTCTATTACTATTATTTAGGGTTGCCAACCCTCCCGGATTGGCTGGGAGCCTTCCAGAATCGGCATCGATCTCCCACTGACTATTGAAAGCACTCTGGAAAATTGATATCATGAACACGTTGAACAGTACAATTAATGATATTGCATCACATTGGGAAAAAAGTCTCCCGAAATAGCTTCAGTCAGAGTTAGCAACCCTACTATTATTTTTTCTGCAGTCAAAAAATGAGTGAAAACAAAGAGCTGGCATTTTTCAAGGGATACCGTCAATCTAATGAGGGATGCATTAAGTCTAGAAAGGTTGAGAAGCACTGCATTATTACTTTCATCATTGCAACAACTTTTGTTTACAGAGGGCAGGTTCCCACTTACAAAACTAGCAGTACAGAGAGACAAATTATACCGCGTTAAAAAAAGGGGGCAAGGGCAACTAACTGGATATTAGCCACTCTGTGGTAACTGCTTCATTAGTTGGTTACCTTATCCTTGTTTCATTAAGGTTAAGATACTCCACTTTAGTTTTCCATAATCACAAGATAGGGCTGGACATCTAAACAGATGCACCAGAATACCTGAATAGAAGATAACCCCTTATTTCTTTAAGCTGGTATAATTTCTTTGTCTGTCCACTCCCCTCTGGAGCTGGAATAAGGTTTTATGGTTTCTAGTGAAAATGATAGCTGCTTTGCCAAGAATATTTTATTCCTCTGATTCATTTAAAAATAAGGTTTATATTTTGCTGCTTTTTTTATTTTTGCAGTTAGACCATTTTGAGAATTTTGT